CCTTCGGCTCAGGTCATGATCCCAGCGTCCTGGGATCGAGTCCCGCATCGGGCTCCTTGCTCGGCGGGGAGCCTGCTTCTCCCTCTGCCTGCCATTCTGTCTGCCTGTGCTTGCTCTCTCTCCATCTCTCTCTCTGACAAATAAATAAAATCTTTAAAAAAAAATAAAATTAAAAAAAAAAAGAAGAGACAGACAAAAATAATTAAATAAGCAAATACACAGTTTGTCAGAGAAAAACAAATACTATAGAGGAAAAGGAAGCCAAGGAAGACAGACAGACACTACCTTGGGTTGGGTAGTTGTTATTTTCTATTTTCCAAGAAAGAAGTCCCCTCTTTCATGGAGCTATAGCATTTGGAGTTGGGGAGCTCCTGGGGCTGGGAACCTCTGAGGCCCTCTCCTAGCACTCCAGAGCCAAGTACAAAGGAGGCCGTCACCTCTAACACACACCCTGTTTGCAGGGCACTCAGGTCCATGTCTTGGCCTCTGGGGGACTTGTCAACCTGGAACTGAGAAGAAGCAATAGTAAGTAACAGGGTTTCTTCCTGCCTCCCTCCCTCCCTTCCTTCCTTTTTCTTTCTTTCCTTCTTTTTTTCTTCTTCCTTCTTTCCTTCCTTCCTCTTCCTCCCTCCCTCCCTCTCTTTCTTTCTTTCAAGATTTTATTTATTTATTTGACAGGGAGAGAGCACAAGCAGAGGGAGTCACAGGCAGAGGGAGAGGGAGAAGCAGGCCCCCCGCTGAGCAGGGAGCCTGATGTGGGACTCGATCCCAGGACCGTGGGATCATGACCCGAGTTGAAGGCAGCGATTTAACCAGCTGAGCCACCAGGCACCCTAACATGGGCTTTCTGCTTCGGCATTCCAACAGAAATACAGAAAACCAAGAGGGCTGCAGGCCTACAAATCTGTCTTACAATTTATGTCCATGAAGCCTGAGGATGTTCAGAAGTGTTTTTGCACAAGCTGGGAGAAAGGAAGAGCTGTCTCTAGCTCTTCTTCCTCTTCTCCACCCCCATCCCTGACCATCTAATACACTTTAGGGAGGAAGAAGAGGACAAGGGATAGAGGTGAAAAACTCAGGGGGAAAATCAGGGAAACCTCCTTCACACACATGCTGTGTTGATTCCGAGGATGGGCTGGGAGAATGGAAATGTCCCAGCACGGCTGCTGCCTTCCTGGCCTAGAAGATTCAAGGGGGCACTCATGTCCTCTGGGTGCAGCCAAACACAACCACGCTTCAGAGGAAGACACTGCCTGCTTTCTCAGGTCAAATACATCAGAACCTGTGGTCTATAAGCCACATATGGTGCTGGGAGTGCCAAGAAATAATGATGAAAGAAAATGGTTGAAATCTAGACACAGAAGCTCTGTGTAGCTCTGCTTTTGCTCAGTGAAGCTGCAAGTCCTATTAGCTACCCTCTAGTCCTTGAGCCCTGTGTGCCCTGTGTCATATGCTGTCTCTCAGCAACCCAGTGAGGTAATTCTTATTACCCACCTCTCACAGATGAAGACACAGAGGTTCAGAGTGGTCACGCTCTCTAGTCAGTCATGGAAGCTGAATTTGAACCCACATCACTCTATTTGGGAGCTCTATCTTAACCATTATACTTCACTACCTATCAGAGGAAAGGGTCAGCAGGGAAGCACTAAAAATAGGAATGCTCCCCTCCCCCACGAGCTATGCTTCCGGTGCTCAGCAGAGGAAGAAAATTGAGAAACCTTCCATGCTTTCTGGCCTAAGCTCTGCCTTAACTTTTAATACTGTAAATATTTAATTATTTCTGATACCAGATATGACTATTTTTCTCTAGGAAATAGATTAATAGAATAAGAAAGTTCTTTAGAGATGCAGAAGAGCTGACCTTGAAATCAACAGAGAAGGTTAAGTACATGTCTCAAGGTCAGAGTTAGGTTCCTGGCAAAGCTAAGGTTAAAAGAGCAGCGCTCCTGTATCCCAGGCCAGAGCCTGACGGAGCCCCTGAAGCTGCTTTGCAGGTTATCACTGCTCTGCCCTAACAGATGACTGCATGAAGGAGGATGACTGCCTTGTTTGCACACCAGGGATTTTCAACAAAAGCTGCACTCAGCTGAACAGCTTTTAAACAAGGCACTTCTAGCACCTTCTGATGAGTTAGTCTCTACCATCTCCTTTCCTAGGTCATGTGCTCTTTTGAATTAGGAGATTCCTACCATTTCTCCTTGTATTTAGCTGGAATGGATGCTCCTCTCTGTCTGGGGCAGTTGGTTGTATTTCTAGTTCAGAACCTGCTGTAATTTACTCTGGCCTCCCACACGAATACTGACTCTTCTGCCTGCCTGGCTGGCTTCTGCCGACCTCTGCAATCTGGACCCATTACATCCAGCTCATTTTTTTCTTCCCTACTTCGTGACACATACTACTTGTCAGATTGGAGTCCTGGGCTTACCCTATTTCTGTGGCAGAAATATCCTCCCTGCTCTCCCCCTGTGCAAATCCATTCTTCAAGGCTTTGCTCAGACCTTCCTGCCCCAGATTTCCCCATGTACCTACAGCCGTGGGATGAGCTCCTTTTACATTTATTTTCTCAAGCACATAATTTGGCCCTAAAAATGTTTCCACACATTCCTCAAATGTAATGCAGGCCCCTTGAGGGCAGGTCCACATGTTCATTGGTTCCCTAGAGATTTTTAAAACCACCTCATTTGGTGAGATACAAAGAGAAGTATAAGTGATGGTTGCTTCCTGTCCTGGAGGAAGGGAGACTAGTACTTTGCAGATATCTGTCTGGTGTATATTGGACCCTCCACAAAGATTTGTTTTATTTATTTATTTATTTATAAAGACTTTATTTATTTGACAGAGAGGGACACAGTAAGAGAGAGAACACAAGCTGGGGGAGTGGGAGTGGGAGAGGGAGAAGCAGGCTTCCCGCTGAGCACCGATGCAGGGCTTGATCCCAGGACCCGGAATCAGGACCTGAGAAGAAGGCAGACGCTTAACGACTGAGCCACCCAGGTTCAATATGTTTTATTGAACATATATGATGCCTCTTACTGCAAGTATTTGCTGTCTCTAAGTGTCATGAGAGGTGATGTTATAGGGAAGGCATCACAAAAGAAGTGGCATTTGAAGTGGACCTTAAAGACCAGGAACATGACTTTAAAAACAGAATTGGCAGAAGAAACGTACGCGCGCGCGCGCATACACACACACACACACACACACATACACATACACACACGGCCAGGCACACACAGGGCACCAGGTTCAGGGGGAAAGCAGGGGAGCTCTGTCCCTGCCCCAGCACCAACTAGCCTTAGTGAGAGTAGGCAGGTTGCTTGACTTCCAAGCTCCTTCCCCTTCCCTTTCCACTCCAAAGCAGGATGGGCTCTGGAAAACGTCAAGGTTCAAATCATAGCTGTGTGACCTTGAGCCAATCAGTTGGTGTAGGGGCTCAGTTTCCTTCTAATAAAACGGGTAAAATCATCTTGCCTTGCAAGCTTTTTGTGAGGTTTTAAGAACATAAGTTGCTAAGTGCAGAGCTTGGCGTTATTATATTTCCTTCTACCAGAGTAGGGGAGACAAACCCGAGTCGGCCTCCCTCTCCTTGCGCCGCCCCAGGTTTCCCAGCACACAGCATAGAGCCTGTCCCTCGTAGGGGATACGGACAGATTGCAGGACTCCTAAAGAGAAAATGGGAGTTTAAAGAGCTTCAGGAAAAAAAGTCAACAGCATCGACAGTGGACTGACCAGGGAAGGGGGATGCTCGATAAATGTGTTTCCTTGAATAGCCTTTCCGCAGTCCAAGAATCTTTTCTAACTCTCCCTCAACTTGCCTCCGCGGAGCCAGCTGGTTTCTCTACAGCTCATTCTGCCTCCGCCTTCAAACCCCAGTTAAGAGTCAAGGTCCGACTCCGTCGGGCTGGGAGGGCGGGGTTTCCCCAAGTCCCAGGAGAAAAGATGGGGGCGTGGTCCGGTTCCCGCCTCCTTACTCCCACTCCCTGGGGCATGGCTCCTGCGCGCCCCCCTTCATTTCTTTTCTCTTTCAACAGGTCGAAGGGAGGGGACTCGAATTTGGACCACGGCGAAAGCTCAATCCCAGCTCTCCTCCCTCCGACCCGCCTAGCCACCCCCACTTAAGCCGCCTATCCCTGGGGCCCTCGTGGACCCCGCTCAGTCGCCAGTCCCGGCCCCCCGTCGAGCCAGCCCTTCGCCCCTCCCTTTGGCCACCTCGACTCCCGGCCCCCGCCTCGGTAGTTCCAGGCCAGCAGCCCTCCCTACTTCGGCGCCTCCGCCCCCTCCCACTCGGCCACTTCAATCGCCTGCCCGGGCCTCCGTAGACCCCGCTGGGACACCCCGCCCCCCATTCCGGCCGCCACAGACCGCGCTCGGCCACCACCCCCCACCCCAGGCCTGGTGGGCCCCGCTGGGACCTAACCTCCCGCCCCCCACCTCGCCCCCCCCACCTCCCGCCACCTCGGCCCCGTAGACCCCTGTGGGACAACCTCCTCCTGGACCCGGCCGCCTCAGACCGCGCTCGGCCACCACCCTCCCCTCGACTCCCCCTGCCCCCACCCCACGCCTCGCGGACCCCACTGGGACCTTAACCCCCGGTACCCCCTCGCCACCTCGGCCCCGTAGACCCCGCTGGGACAACCTCCTCCCGGACCCGGTCGCCTCAGACCGCGCTTGGCCACCACCCTCCCCTCTGCTCCCCCACCCCGGGACTCGTAGACCGGCCTGGGACACCCCCGCCCCCGCCGCGTGGGTCCCCGTGGCGCCGCCCCCCCGCTCGGCCCCCCTCCTTGGGGTCGAGGCGGCAGGGGGAGGGGCCGCGCCGGCCCCCGCGTGCGTGGCAGGCTCTCCCGGCTCGGCTCTCCCGGCCTCCCTTCCCGGGAGGCGGGGTCGACGCCGCGGCGGCGGCGGCGGCGGAGGCAGGCCCCCTCCTCCTTCCTCCGTCGTCCGGCCTCCTTCTTCGCGCGCCCGCCGCCCGCTCTCTCTCGGCCGCTCCGACGCCGGCAGCGCCCGCGTGCCGCTCGCCCAGCCCGTGGGGAGCCCGAGGAAGTTTCCCGGGCCGCGTGCCCCGCTCGCTCGCCTCGCAATCCGCGGCCTCACCCGCCGCCGCGCCCGCCATGCCCTCGGCCAAACAAAGGGGCTCCAAGGGCGGCCACGGCGCCGCGAGCCCCTCGGAGAAGGGCGCCCACCCGTCGGGCGGCGCGGATGACGTGGCGAAGAAGCCGCCGCCGGCGCCGCAGCAGCCGCCGCCGCCCGCGCCGCACCCGCAGCAGCACCCGCCGCAGCATCCGCAGAACCAGGCGCACGGCAAGGGCGGCCACCGCGGCGGCAAGTCCTCCTCCTCCGCCGCCGCTGCCGCCTCGTCCTCGGCGTCCTGCTCGCGCAGGCTCGGCCGGGCGCTCAACTTTCTCTTCTACCTCGCCCTGGTGGCGGCGGCCGCCTTCTCGGGCTGGTGTGTCCACCACGTCCTGGAGGAGGTCCAGCAGGTCCGGCGCGGCCACCAGGACTTCTCCCGGCAGAAGGAGGAGCTGGGCCAGGGCTTGCAGGGCGTCGAGCAGAAGGTGGGTACCCCGGCCCCCAACCCGCGGCCCCCGCGCCACAGCCGCGGCGCTGGCTCTGCCCAGGCCCCGGGGCCGGGACCGGAGCCGGGCGCCCTCCTCGGGCGGTCCGGGCCCCCAGTCCCAGGGCTGTCCCCAGACCCTCTTTGTTAATGGCCGCGGAGGAATCGGGCCCCGAGGGATGGGCCGCCGGGAGGATGGTCAGGCCAGCTGGTCAGGGTGGGCCAAGGGCCTGTCACAGAGCATTAGCGGTGACCTGTAAGGAAGCCGCCAGGCTCTGGGGAGCCCATTCTTTTTGGATTAGGAACCGCTGAATGGGCAGAGTTGTCTGAAAAGGAGGTTGGAAGGGACGCCAGCGCATCCCTGGAAGCCTCAGGCAAGGCCGCACCTGGGCTCTCCCTGTGGGAGACATCTGAGCCAGGTTTTAATAAATCCCGATCCTGGGGAAGGAGAAGCAAGTAGTCATACTCATTTGCGAAGTTCAAATGAAATATTACCTATCTTCAGATCCCTTGTGGACCAGTGTCCCCATGTGGGCCTTTGAAATAGCATAAACCAGCTTCAGAGGAAAGGAAAGGCCCCCAAATATTAGAGGGTACTGGTGAGTAATATCACAGACACTTTTTTATGATGTTAAGAGGGCTTACTCACTATCTAATCATCATAGCCACCCTGGCGGGGAGGGAGAAGTAGTAGTTTTGACTCCATTTTCCAGATGAGAAGATTGAGGTTTAGAGAGATGGAGTGAATTGATAAAGACCCCAGCTGGTGAGTGGCAAACTGCATGAGAATGTCGAGGCCACTGCCCAGTTTGGGGTCCACTGAGGCCTCTCTCAGGTATGGATGGACGCAACTTTCACCACACAGCCTCTTAGGTTCCCACCTGTGTGTTGACACACCAAGCGCATCTTCCTGAGTCTCATCCCTTCTCGTTCCTCCTTTTCTGTCCTCCACTAATGTCTTTGCTCAATGAAAGTTGGTTGTATGATTGAAACAAAAAATCCCGCCACCACTTCTGAGCCCGGAACTGCTGCCTCCTTTTCCCAGCATGCTGCCTGCCCTGCCAAGTTTCTATCGACTTTTGTGGAGTATGCAGGACTAGGAATTTCCTCTTAAGACTGGCAGAGCAACTGGAATGAGTCATCCTGCTCCATGCTGCAGGCCAAGGGAGGTGACTTTTCAGAGAGACTTAAGTAGGCAGTGCTGCTTTGCCTATCCTGAATGTCAAGTCATAAGACGTACTGCTAGAGTATAATCACTAGCCTCTCGTTTCCTCCCTCCCATCCACCCAGTTACCAGTCACAATGTTCATTGAAGTCTGATAGTGATACGGTTGCTTCTTGGCACTGTGCCGGGGGGTGGAGGTGGGGGGGGCGGGGGGGGGTTGAGGGGTGGTACCAAGGCGCAAAAAGGCACAAATAATGTTTGCAAAGCAGCACGTAAGGAGTTTTTAGTGGAGGGTTACTGCCATGTGAGTTCGGAAGAAAGAGGGTGTGGAGTTTGCCTGGGCCCATGTCCCAGTGGCCAGGGCAGTGCCAGTGTAGGCCTCGCTGATTGTCAGGAACTGTTGAGAGGAGTGGAGACACTACAGGCAGGGGCGCTGCCTGTGTGTGTTGAAGGGACAGTAGGTGGCTGTCTGGCCTGTAGCAGAGTAACATTTAGGAAGTAGTGAGATGAGAGATTGAAGTTGAGGCCCAGATGGGGGAGGCCTTGAATAGTAGTTGAAGAAACTGGGCTTTACTGTGTCTGCTTCTCCCCTGCCTCTCCCCTATTCCCTCCTCCCCGGCTCCCACCTCTTCTCTGTCAAAGCTGTGTGCACATTACTTTCCATTTGGGGGCTGAGTTTTCCTGTCTACACAGCAAGGGGAGGGCTCTGTCCAGGTTTTTTAAGCATCCACCTGGCTGTATGCTGTTGGAACAGTGTCCTTTCTTTTTAATTTAGCAGTGTAATCAAGCTGTATGTAATGCCTTGGATTTATTGTGCACTCATCTCTTTTGACTCTCACAGCAGCTGGAAGAGGTGAGCACAAGTAGACCGCCCGTTTCACAGATGAGGAGAGTGAGCCACGAGAAGGCCGAGGAAATGCAAGGTCACACAGCTAGTAAGGGGCAGGGCTAGGATTCATACTGCAGTTAGCTCCTAGGAGAGTCTTAGCCCTTTGTTCGTTTTATTATCTTGCCTGTGGCTTGTGAGGTATGTAGTAGCTATTCAGTTAATGCCTGGTCCGGTGATGTGGAGCTCAGAATGTGCCCAGAACAGTACTGAGATTTGAACACTGTGTGTGGCCACTTCTGTCTGCTCCTCCGAGGAGGCCAGGAAATGAGTGATTTTGCTTTGAAGAGTGAGCAGTGGTGACTCCTCTGAAAGCCTAAACTTGAGCCCCTTTTTAACTCTGTGATGCTTCGTGCAGGGTGGGCTTTGGTTCTTAGCAGGAACCTATACTTACAGTATTATTATTCGTAATTAGTATTCAGCATGGGCTAGGCATCCTATTAAGTGCTTCCCAGCCACCCTCTGAGGCAGGACCCATTCATTAGCGCTTTCCACAGGTGGTCCAGCCTGGCCTGGAGCCTGCGGTATAACTCGTTCAAGGTCACACACAGCCCCTAAGTGGGGGACTTGGGGTCAGAGTCAAAGCAGTGCGACTTGAAGCACGCCACAGGGCCGCTTGCCTGGTCTCATTGTGCAGATGGTCCCAGTGTTGGGAAATGGCCCAGGTCTGCTGAATGACCGCAGCCTGGGCAGAGAAGCTGGCCTGTCCTTCCACGGAAGGTTCAGTGGGCACAGGGGTGCGGGCTTCCAAAGATGCTGGCAGTTTGGTTGGAGGCTGGGAAGGGCCCGTGTGGCCCTGGCGGATCCAGGGTGGCATAAAGTGATGGGAGGGGTAGGCTTAGGCCCAGGAGGGACAGTTGAATGAGATGAGCGGTTGTTTGTGGAAGAGTGAGTTCTCTGGTTGTGTTTCTTTGTTTTCTCGTCTTGACTGGAGGAGTCAGAGCTTCTGAGGGTAGGCAGCATTTCCTCCACACACTCAGTGCACGTAGAACAGGTTTCTGCTAGAGCTTATCACTGGGGGTTAAGAGCTCAGGTGGTGACCTCACACGTTCTGGGATTTTGGTGCTCAGCCTGACCATTTCCCAGTTTCCTGATTGGTAAACTGGAAATCATTGGGAGCCACCCACTCATGAGATAATTACGAAGTACTTTGCATATTTTTTGGTATACAGGAAGTGCCCTGTTGAACGGCAGCCACCACTGTCTCCCCTTGTGCTATGAGCTCCTTGAGTGCAGGGATCCTGTTCTAACCATCGTTTTTTCTCTGGTGTTCTGCCCACCATTTAGTGGGCACCCCACATATGTTGGGAGAACAGATGCATCCATTGCATATTGATTATAATGAGGTCTTTGCATGGAAAGATGTACAGCTCACAACACCATCAGTAGGGGGGCGAGTTCTGTATTATTTTCCTAGTGTTGGGGGTTGATGTGTTTGGTTTCATCCATAATTTCTGATCTAGTCCCCTTCCTTGCCATTTGCCAAGAGCCAGCCCCTGTTAGGGGCGACAGGGATCACAGGGGAAATGGACTAGCTCAGTCTTCTCTAGGCTTTGTGCTATTAATTAATTAATTCCTGCTTCATTCGGAAAACACTGCAGGAACGCCTGCCACGTTGCAGGTACTGTGCTTGCCTGGCCATGCCTCTGTTCTAAGTGCTGTGCACAGCAGGCGGGAGCTGTGATTGAACAGCTTAGTTTTGGAGGTGAGTTCTCCCTGGTATCTTCTCAAAGTACCCTTTATGAATCAGGTTATATTGAGTTGAACGGGGAAATTGTCTAGTATTCCGAAAACCTCATTTTCGGAAATGAAAATCTCATTCTAATCTGTTTTAACATCACAGACTATTGGAACCCGAAAGGGACTTTAGAAACTATTTGTTAATAGACGAGGAGTTGGGACCTGCAAAGTGAGTGACTTATCTGTGCTCCCTGAGCTGGTTTTAGGTGGGGCTGGCACCGGACCCCCGAGCGGCTGTTTGTTGACCATTCACTATGTGTCAGACAAAACTGAAGCTGTAGATATCTTCACTCTAGCTTAATCCTCCCACGACGAGCCTAGATAGAGTCAGGTACTGTTTTGTTCCCGTCCTGCTGCTGAGGTAACTAAGGCACAGACGGGTTGAGTAACATGCCCAGGATCACACAGCTAGGAAGTGTCCCAACCAAGATTTGAACATAGCCAGTCCGGTTCCAGAACTCATGCTGTTTTATTTTTTGCCTTGTCGCCACGGAAGTATTTAGGCATAAACAGAAGAGATCGATATAATGAGCCCCGTTTTCAATAATGCTTTTTTTTTTTCCTTTGCTATTCTTGTTTGTTTCATTCCATCACCACTTCTTCCCTCCCATTTTGTTTTGCTCTTTTGGGACTGGAGTCAGAGCAGGGTCTCTGAAGCATTCTCTTCCACCCTTTGCTGGGTGCCCACCTGGTCTCTCTTGTTCTTAGATGCTCTGGGTGTTGGGAAATAGCCCAGGTGTGCGGCGTGGCTGCAGCCTGGGCCGAGAGGACAGCCTGTCCTGAGTCGAGAGATTCAGCAGGCAAGGGTGGGGCAGGCCCCCTGGAGGGCCCGTGTGGCTCTGGCAGACCCAGAGGATATGGACCCAGGATCTAATTTTCACTGAACATTAGTTCATCCCAAGTATTTCAAGATTTATTTTTAACAAATAGGAGTGCCTTCTCTTCCCTTTCCTTTTGGCAAAACACAGTATATTATACCTAACAAAGTTAATGGAAAGGCTTGCTTCTCATCTAATACCTAATTCAAAATCAGATTTCCCGAGGACCCCCTTAAAAATCTCTCTTTTATAGTTGCTTTGTTTGAATCAGGATCCATGTATAAGTCCACATATTGTGTTTGGTTGGTGAATCTCTTAAATTTCTTCTAATGTATAATTTTCCCCGACTTTCCCCTTTAAAAATGCCATTCAATTATTGAAGGTCCTGGCTCTTTGTTGTATAGGATTTTCCACATCGTGGGTTTGGCCGATTGCGCCCTTGCTGCGTGTTTTTCTCTTGCATGTTCCTGTGAATTGGTGGTTAGAGCTGGAGGCTTTTTTTTGCAAGAAAGTGTTCTGGGTGGCTCTGTGTGTCGGTAGTCCCTGGCCTGTCAGGCTCAGCACATCAGACCAGTTCTCTGGAGAGGTTCCAGGTCAGACCTTGGTTAGCGGAGAATTTATTTAGTATGAGTGTGTCGTGGCAAACAGGAGCATAACGTGCTCACAAAGCCAGAGAGTGCTAAGGGAGCATCTGGCCCAAGTCATATTTTCGGGTGAGGACAGTGACTTGGTCAGGGCCGCCCAACTAGAATTGGCAAGCTAGACACCTGAACCTTTGTCTCGTGCCTCCCAGTCGAGTGTCTCCATGTGTCTCAGCTTTTTTTCTGTGAAAGGAAGACTTTTCAATTGCAGGAGCTAGAAACTCAGCCTCACTGGCTTAAAGAGGGACGGGGGAAGGGAGAGAGAAAATGTATTTTTTTTTTTTAAGATGTTATTTATTTTATTTGTTAGAGAGGGAGAGCGTGAGCACCGGCAGACAGAGTGGTAGGCAGAGGCAGAGGGAGAAGCAGGCTCCCAGCCGAGCAAGGAGCCCGATGTGGGACTCGATCCCAGGATGCCAGGATCATGACCTGAGCCAAAGGTAGCCGCTTAACCAACTGAGCCACCCAGGCGTCCCGAAAATGTATTGTCTTAAACCAAAAAGTTCAAGAGCAGATTCCTTCCGGTGTAGCTGTACCCAGAGATGCAGATTGTATCTTCAGAGCGTGATCTTGCCGTCTCTTAGTTTTGCTTCCCACCGTGCTGGTTTGATTCGTAGACTGGCATTCTTCGTGGGCCCGTCTGAGCCTCTCCAGGCTTCCTCCATCCCATAACTAGCAATCCCAACAGAAGAAGGTTTTCTTTACGAGTAGTCTTGGGATTGACCGACTGGCCGAAGGCCCATCCCCGGGCTGATCACTGTGTCTTCAGGAGAGCGGACCCCTGGAGCACTTGGAAAGGGCCTTTAGGTTGGTCCCGCAAACCACATGGAATGTGTGTGGAGGGAAGGTTCTTTCTCCAAGGCCAGTTACTGTTCCGTTCCTGAAGAGAGACCCGAAGCTGGGCAGACAAAAGGAAATATAGCTGTGTTGCATGGAACTCATCAGCTCTTCTCAGCAGTTAACGTGTGGATTTTGGTTACAGGTGCAGTCTCTTCAAGCCACATTTGGGACTTTTGAGTCCATCTTGAGAAGCTCCCAGCATAAACAAGACCTCACGGAGAAAGCTGTGAAGCAGGGGGAGAGCGAGATCAACCGGATCAGTGAAGTTCTGCAGAAGCTCCAGAATGAGATTCTCAAAGACCTCTCCGACGGCATCCACGTGGTGAAGGATGCCCGGGAGCGGGACTTCACGTCTCTGGAGAACACGGTGGAGGAAAGGCTGACGGAACTCACCAAGTCCATCAACGACAACATCGCCATCTTCACCGAGGTCCAGAAGAGGAGCCAGAAGGAAATCAACGACGTGAAGGCGAAGGTTGCCTCTCTGGAAGACTCCGAGGGGTACAAGCAGGATTTGAAAGCCTTGAAGGAAGCTGTGAAGGAAACACAGGTCTCTGTGAAGTCCAAAGAAAAGGACATCGAGGCCTTGAGAAGCACCCTCCAGACCTTGGAGTCTGACGTCTACACCGAGGTCAAGGAGCTGGTGAGCCTCAAGCAGGAGCAGCAGAAGTTCAAGGAGGCGGCCAATTCGGAGCACCTCACCTTGCAGGCCCTCACAGAGAAGCTTCTCCAGTCCGAGGAGGTCACCTCCCGCCTTCCCGAGGAGATCAGGAGACTCAAGGAGGAGCTGCGCCACCTGGAAACGGAGGCCCTCAGGCCGGAAGAAGATGGGGTTTACAAGCACGCTGGCTCCTTAGCCGCGCTCCAGGAGAAGAGTCAGGGATTGGACTCCAGGCTCCAGACCGTGGAAGATGGCGTGGATGCCGTGCAGACGGCCTCTGCGCGCCACAGTGAGAACCTGGAGGCCCTGCTGGCCAAGAGCGAGGAGCACGAGCGGCGCCTGGCCGCCCTGCAGGAGCGCGTGGCCGGCCTGGGCCCTTCGGAGGCCGACGCGGGGGGCCTGGCCAGTACGGTGAGGAGCCTGGGTGAGGCCCAGCTCTCGCTCTACAGCGACGTGGAGGAGCTGAAGAGAAGCATGGGCGAGCTCCCCAGCACCGTGGAGGCTCTCCAGAAGGTGCAGGAGCAAGTCCATACGCTGCTGGGCCAGGACCCGGCCCGGGCGGCCCCCTTGCCTCAGGACTTCCTGGACAGACTCTCTTCTCTAGACAACCTCAAAGCCTCAGTCAGCCAAGTGGAGTTGGACTTGAGGATGCTCAGGACTGCCGTGGACAGTTTGGTCGCATACTCAGTGAAAATAGAAACCAACGAGAACAACCTGGAATCCGCTAAGGGCTTGTTAGATGACCTGAGAAATGACCTGGATAGGTTGTTCCTGAAAGTGGAGAAGATTCACGAAAAAGTCTGAGTGAACGCACATGCAGGGTGCGGAGTTGATCCAGTTTCTCATGACCAAAAAATGGGTTGTTTTCTCCTGCGCGCCCTACCCCCTGGGTTCTTGTTCCCTCTTAAAAAGCAGTGGACCCCCCCCGCCACCGCCTGAACACCAAGGCATTTTATATTTTTGTGCCCAGTTAATTTATTTATGATTATTACCACACACCATTGGTTTCTCATGTTCTCTGCTTCTGCTTTTGGTTGGTTTCCTCAAGGCCTGGCCCCTGCTAGTCAGAGGGGCCTTCTAGGAGGGATGGCTCTAGTGTCCGAGAAGAATGGCTTCAACTGGGGATTAGCAGAAGCAGATTACGTGTGACCTCACAAAACCTTGCCTGCCTGGCAGATTTCAAGTAAAAAAAAGTCGGGGGAGGAGGCACTTTTCTTTCTCATTCTCTTTAAGGACAATTAATTTTACCTTTTTTTTTTTTTTTAATACTTCCGGCCGAAGTTTTCATGAGCTGCCACTCACTTCTTGTCTTCCACTTAAACTGGTTAAAACTTATAAGTGTCAGCTCTGATTTGGGAGGGGGACAAGCCCCTTGGTTTTTAGTTGATAAGAACCAGCTGCTTGACTTGACGGCTACCTCCCGTGGTGTGGGGTGCCTTTTCCATTCCTGAATCATCTTGTGATCTCCAAGGTAACTATGCAAAGAATCCAGATGGTTCTGAATGTGAAAGCCACAACACCTCAGAGTCCCCTGTGGCCAGCCTGCGTCACCTCTTGGTAGGGTCCCCGGATAATACGTTGGTTTAGAATCCCGGAAAGGGGACTCCTTGGAATCCTTCAGGAAATGTGTGATGAGAGCGGTCCACAAAGGCATGGGCTGTCTCCCTGGAGAATGGAGGCCATGTGTTTTTATTTTCTCATGATGTCCATGAAGAGGTTTGCTGTCCCAGCAGACCCCCATCTGTCAGTGAGAAGGAATGTGCATTTTCTGTAGTTTTTTGCTGTTTCCCTTCGAGCTGTACTGTTCTTTAATGGCTGTCTTGCCTTTCAAAAAAGAAGAAAAAAAGAAAAAAAAGAAAATTAAGAGAAAAAAAGGTTTGTTTAGTTTACTGTGAAATGAACTGTATGGCTTATTTACAGTATTTTTAATTCTTAATAAACACGAGCTTTGTTACAACTTTTCTAGAGGTGGTTTTCTGAGAATTTAGCAATTGTGATGTATTCCTTAGACTGGAAAGGTCGGGAAGTTTTCGATTTTAAGAGCGTTGCAATTCTAAAAGCAAGGTGGCCTCATTCTTAGGCCTGGGGACGTGCCTTTGACCGATTGCAGGTTTGACTATAGGCATTTGCCAACTCTGAACTACAGCAGAATCTGCTGGGAGCTTTCAACAATGCCTGGGCCTGCCCCCACGGATTCTGATTCTGTGGGCATAAAAAGGGTTGCATTAGCATTTCAAAGGCTCCCTGCTGATTGGAAAGTGCGCTGGGGTTGAGAACTGTGGTCGTGGACCATCTTAAGTGACCTGCAGCCTTCAGTTTCTTGGGGAAACGGATTTTGGATGGCGTTCGTTGAGTCCCTATGTGCCATGCCTTGTGCTAAGTGCTTGATGGGCCCCTATATCTTTCTCCTAATATTCCCCGGAGCCAGGCGTGGGCATTCTGCATTTTACTGAGGGGCCGCAGGCTGGCAAGCTTCGAGTAAGATCATTATTAGCTAGACAGGGCTGAGATTCTAACCCAGTCCTGCTCTTAACTGACAGGCTACTCTACCTTCCACCCTCAAGAGGCAGGACCACCCCCTCCCCCACCCAGCTTCAGGACCCTGAGGCTGCAAGAGCTCTTCTGGCCCATGCAGGGTGTGGAAGGGGAGGAGCCTGAGTGCCACTGTGGTCTCCTGCTCTCTTTTTCTGGCTGGTGGCCCTCATCCCAGAACTTTTTGGTTAGTCCTTCTGGGTCCCCAAGGCAGCATCCCCCTAGGGCATCCCAGCCCCTGGCTTCTGTTTTTCCAAAGCCGTTTGCAAATCAGGATGGGCCCTTTATTGGTATATTAAAGTAGACGAGTTGGTAGATAAAGGTAATTTAGTGACCAGGTTTGCCCTCGTTTGTGGAGGGTACTGGACAGCATAAATTTCCATGCTTGGGAAAATGAAATTTTGGTTTCTTTTCAGGTTGGTTGGTTGTATCAGGCATTTTCTTGATCTTCCTCTTGACACCACTTGTGCAGTCTTTAATGTCAGGCTATGGAGTGGTTTAATAGAATGTCATTTATTTTTTAAAAAGAGTATGTTTGCTTATTTATGTATTTATTTGAGAGTGCACTAGTGGGAGGAAGGAGCAGAGGGCGCTACTCCACGACCCTGAAATCTCGACCTGAGCCAAAATCAGGTCGTACACGCAATGACTGAACCACCCAGGGGCCCCTAATAGATTGTCATTTAATATTAGGGTAGAAAACCTCTAAGGGTCAGAGAAACAACCACATTTAAATTCAGACGGTGAAAATAAAAAGAAAGCATTATGAATTCACAACATTGCTGATGGTGGGGCAGTTAGAGGTAGATCTTACCCCAGGTAACAGCCACAGTCCCGTCTTGTTCCTGTGTCTGCTCATTCCCTCAGTCGGTGAACGTTACTGAGCCCACAGCCAGTCATTTGCTAAGTGAATTCAGGATGCACCAGACAGGATCCTTGTCCTCAGGGGACCTATAGCGCAGTGGGGGCAATGGTCACATCAACAGGTAGATGTCCTAGGGAGTTACAGGTGCTATAATCAGTCATAATGGGACACAGAGCAGGGATCTATCCGTTCCGCCCCCTTCAGCTGGGATGGTTAGAACAGGCTTGCAGAGGCCTGTGGCAGTTCTCGGAATACCTCCACGCGGGATGGGAAACTTCAGGAAACCGAGCGCCCCACCCCTTGAGCGGAGAATTGACATAAGTTACTGACGATATTGATTAGACTGCGGGACGACCCAGCACCAGGGTAAGAGACTGCAGCGAAATTGCCCAGGTGAGGCTGTCAGCACACGGGTGGCCCAGACCGGTGATGACCCCTCACGGGGTAGCTGGGAGGGTGGAAGGAGGAGAGGGATGAGCTCAGCACAGCATCTGGTACAGAGAGCTCCAGGGTCATCCTGCCAGAGTTAAAAGACGGAAATACTTCTGTGCTGCTTGGTAAAGAGCTGTAACCCTGAGCCCGCTCTTGCTCCCCGGGGGACCACAAGACTTCAGGGCCCCTGTTTCAGCCCCAAGGCCAGTGTTCATTCTGGTGAGTGGGCACCCGGGCTTTACCAGGGTCAAAGAGTTTGAAATCACCCCATGTCCTCCTCAGAGCATGTCTCTGAGCTAGGGATCTGGTTTCCCGGGAACATTTGGGCACACCCCTACCAGACATCTCAGGTTCCACAATGAAGTCCTTATTTCTCCCAGGAGTAAGTGGGGCCACTGCTCCCCCCGTCACTTGAGCCAGAAGCTCAGGGGAGCTTCGTGTCCCTGCTTCTCTGCATCCATGCCTGCTGGAGCCCTGACGCAGCCGCCCCCATCTCTCGTCTTCGCTGCATCACTGGCCAGTGTCTGAAGCCCAGCAGTAGCCCCTCACTGCACCTCTGCGTGTTCCCGGGAACAGAAACCTGGGGTGTGCCCTCAGCATTCATTCAACAAATTCAGAGAGCACAGCTCTGCTGGACACCAAGGAGATGACTAAAAACAAGACAGGCTTCCTGCTTTCAGGATTCTCGTGGTCCAGTTGGAAGAGACCAGCAGTAAACACGGGAGAAAACAGATAGTAAACTTGCAAACTGCAGTATCTATCTTGAAATACAGGAACAGGTTAAGTAGCCTCCCTGTCCCTAGCCTTCTCCTACTCAAGGAATTCCCCAGGGGTGACCGGCCGGTATGATCTTTCTCAAAAGAGGTAGAGGTAGATCTTACCCCAGGACTCTTCTCCACTAAATCCTTCAGCGTCTCCCCTTTGGCTTCAGGAGAAAATTTCAACTCCATGGTGTGGCTGAGAGAGAGATTTCTGACTCTTCTCTCCCAGACAGTGGGCCTCATCCGCTGTGCACTCTGCTGGTAGGTGCACTGACCAACTGAACCACTCCTCACCTCAGTGCCTTTGCATACACTTCTTCCTTCTATTCAGAGTTTCCTACCTCCCTGAACCTGAACCTGAGGCTGAATTTGGGAGATCCTCCTACAAGTTCATACGTTTCAGGCTTCTTGCTCTGAAAGAGCTCCTCCCTCTGTATTCTGACTGCTCTCTCGTCTGACGATGCACTCCATGGATGATAGGGTTGTATTTTCTGTATCCACAGCAATATCGCTGTGCTTGGCCCATGTCAGTAATGATAAAAATCACATTTACTGAGTACTCACTATGTGCCAACCACTATTCTGAGGGTGTACAAGGATTCACTCATTCAATTGTTGCAGCAGTCAAGGAAGGGTTCCATTACCAGCCCCATTTTCCAGGTGGAGAAACTGAGGCACAGAGAGGTTAAATAATTTGTTCCAAATACTTACTTGTCACAGCTGGTAAGTGGTAGAGCGAGATTTGAACCCAGTGGTCTTAGTTAAAAACTGTGCTCTGAACTACTGTAGACTGGTTTCTTTTCCACTTAAAAGCACCTGGGCTTTGGGGGGGGTTACTTTTCATTGAAGTACGACTTGCATGCTTTATGGCATATGCACATCTAAGGCAGACATAGCTGATGGGAGTTTTACACGTTACATCACATACTAACCCCCCGGTGAAGATATACAACATTTGCAGCATGCCAGAGACTTCCTGGGCCCCGTGGCCAATAACCCCCAAAGATTACTACTATCCTGTTGTTTTGCCCATTTTTGAATTTCATATAAATGGACTCATGCCGTGGTATTCCTTAAAAAAGTAACTTTATGAAGATATAATTCACGTGCCATAAAATCTACCCCATTAAAACATATAACTATCCTTAGTATATTCCCAGAAGCCTGGGCCCATTCCTATCCTGATCAATCTTGCCCTTGTTACATACCAAAAAATAGGCTGCCCGTAGGTGTTCAGTAACATGAGTGGCTATTAGGAAGCTGAGACTCCCAGTGGAACAGGGACGTGGTGTGTAGTCACATGCAGCATGACACATGCACAGGT